TGATAGTGGTAACTGTATCAAAAGGGATAAACGCTTCGATGATAAAACACATTTTCATCCATATCGTTTCGATATAATTCGAAAAGAAAAAAAAACACAACGAGCAATTATCAGGCTGAAATAAATTGGTAGCAAGTTATCAAGCACAGAGAATTCAATTAGCCACCACGAATTTTCCTCGAATTATTTGTCGAGTTTCGCAACAAGGGGTTCGAGGATGGTGGGGTAATTAAAAATCCGCAAACCAATGGCGTTTTCACGGCGATTCACGGCCCGTTGAACGTTCGCTTAGTGACCCAAAATTAGTGCGTGCGACCGGAAGCAAGGTAAACCCGTCTACCCCAAAGGCGTTCAAGAGGTCGATAATGCACGGCCTTCGGTAGAGCAGCCATGTGACGGCGGCAATGTGAAAAGGAAAAGCCGGTGAGCGCATAAAACTTGCAGACACTCCTGTCTCCAGGAGTGTCAAGGGTCGCTGACTCCCAGGCGGCCGTTCTTTCTAGCTCCCTTGAAAGAAAGCTAGGCTCTGCTCGTCGGCGCGGATCGATTCGGTCATGTACCGTGAGCACCGCGAAGCGGAAACACCACCAGCCACGCTTGGCCGACTTCGAGTCCAAGACGAACGAAGATGTCGTCAATGTAAACGATCGTTGACCTAATGTTGATTTAAGACAATTTGTAGCATTGCGACTAATTAATGCTTCGATTACCAGAAATGTTGAAAGAATAGTTTCTGAGATGGTTAAAAGTCGACCTTCTTGAAGACTGATTTATTGGATTATTTTAGGGGAAATTATAGTTCGACATCATTTGATGACAGAAAAGTATTGCAAAATTGTACCTATGATGGGTCAATTTAAAGTTTAAAGTTTAATGGAAATGACTATATAAACATTTTATGACTAATTTTTATAGCCTGACACTTTAGCAAGCATCTAATGTTTCCATGAGAAACCAGCCATTTTGTATTAAGAATATTGACGAAACCTTTATGTAGTCGATTTCCTTGATCCTTAAGCTTTAAATCGATATATCATAAGTGCTGTTTTGAGACACTTTTATGTCATGAAATCGAGTTAGCAGATAGTAAGTAGTTTATATTAAGTAGTAAGAGTAAATGATTAGTCAGACATGTCAAGGTATAAAGTCTAACTTAATTTCATGACATAAAAGTAATTCAAAATAGTACTTATGATACATCAATTTAAAGCTTAGAGCTTACTGAAAAAGTCTATAAAAAGGTTTCATTAATATTTCTAATTAATACAAAATGGCATCCTTCATTAGCGTTCTTAATACAAAACGATTGATTGTTAAAGCAAACAATGAATGAACCAATTCACAATTCTGCATTATCCATTAACAAATGTTCAATTTCAATATACAATTTCCCTGATATACAATACGAAACAAATAATAACAAGATACATTAATTAACTAAATTTTACTGACATAAAAATTTCAGAGTTTACTTCTACATTTTATAACTTCCCTGCTGGAACCTACACGACTAATTATGCATTTCAAACTTGTATGTATTCTGTAATTCGTTGGCAGGGAAGTCCAAAATTGTCCAATCTCTATCATTGTCCTTTATAATCATATTTTCGACTGTAATTTTAGACTGCTATAAATTCTGACCCAGTTCAATTTAAATGATAACTCTAATTCCTCAATTTGTTATAATTCAATCTTACAAGCAATCATAATTTCCTATGTCTGATACAAAAAAAAAAGCTAAAAAAGGTTTCAATTTTTCGTTCGTCTTATTAGTTTCGTTCCTCGTCTATTCAACCCTCCTTTCCATTGGATGATGGTGACCGATTGAATCCCACAATGCACCGTGGTACAAGAATCTTTTCATCCTTGAAAAGAGGATAGGCATGGTGGAGAGAGCTGGAAGACAGTTTTTTTCATTTGTTCCACCAGCTTCCAACGGATGGCAATAAATCCTACAGATCAAAGGGCTCATCCCACTCGTCATCGAGATACGTGCCCGTACTGCACCATTATCGAAAGCTCTTTAATGCTGGATACCCGTAAAAATAAAGAAGAAGAAAAGAAGTTTGGCAACGCGTACCGGATACGTCTCCTCTTGTTCTCTCTATGACAACGGTTTACGTTCGATTGAAGTGCATCGAAATAACGAACAGTCAAAGCTTTCCACCGAATTTCTTGGTTACTTGGAACGCCTCGAAACCATCCGAGGAAAATTTCCCATCCCGGCTGATTTATCATATAAATGTTCCTGTTACTCTACTTTCGCGAATAAGACGTTTCTGGTAAATTAAATTCCCCGGCTGTAAATAACCTCCTTTCGAAATACCGCTATACACTTTCTGTAAACATCCCAGCTTATTCGTCTGTGAATTAAAAAGGAAGATAATGTTACGTGCAGTATTCGTTCTTTCGAACTTTTCGTTGAAAAATTGTTTCAATTATCTTCCAGTAGAAACTCGTGCAATTCTTCGATTAATACGATCAAATGGAGCTCGATCATAAGTGAAATGGGTTCGATTCTCAAGTTCGATTGAAAGACGGTCCGGAGTCGTCGACCGGTTAATACGATTCGTCATTCGTTTCGAACAACGCTGTTTCGTAGATTTCGATCGGTGGCTCTCTTTTATAAACGATCCTTGTCCCCAATGTCTGCGGGAAACGTGGTTGCAATTTATTCCAACGTGTCAGAGCGAAGCTGGCTGAAGAAATCAGCGGGAAATGAATTCTCCTGGTGCTAAAGTGGAAAGAACTAGTACCTTTTACCATCGACGAAAATAGACTGCGTGACGACGTGATCGATCATGAAGATCGAGCCTAGGAAATGCTCGTGTCAATCATGGACGATGAAAACGTTACTTCGTTCCTTCTATCCTTTCGTTCGTATGCAGTCGCAGCTGTTGTATAAATTACCCCCTGCGTTGCATGATGTTTTTTTGTATTTTGAAAAGAAATGTAAACTAAAATAAAATAAAATAAAATTTGCAATTACAAATATTCTAGGTAGTAGATTTGCAACATAATACAACGAAGGGTTAAAGGGTTAATTAAATTTTCTAATTTACACTTAACAGCATGAAATTGTAAAATGAAGAAAAATTGCTGTTCTTTGTAAAGATAATATCGAATAACAAAGAAAAGAATAAATAAACATATTTGTGGAGTATAAAACAGAATGTAAAGGAACGATCGAAAACATCCTATGGTAAAGATACTTCCATAGGAAGGTATGGCATGCAAGGAGATGCCAACTCATCTTAAAGTGCATCATTTTTCCGACAGGAAGTTTCTTTCAAGCAGTTCCTTGGACTTTACGACGAGCCATCATTAGATTCACGTTTCCGTAACGTGCCGGCCACTGTGTTGGCAAGCAGATGGGTAGGGGGCTTTGATCTGTTTGGAACTTATGGTTATCCGATAAGCGGCACGAGGTGAAGTATAAACCTAGGTGAAGAGGGTTCTCGGTCTTTGCATCACGCTCGATCGCTTCCCTTCAAGGATGAGAGACTCTTTTGTCCTCGAGCATTTGCCAGATCGAACGAAATTTACCGACGAAATCATAGCTGCTGTGTATCGTAAACATCAGCTGCTATCATCTTCACGTGCCATCGGCATTCCAATCGCGAGTAAAACTGCTCGATTTCCTTCGCAACGACATTCGTCTACGCTGTGTCTCAAAAATATGCATTCCTACCTGACAATTTCGAACTTTACACTGTTGTTATTTTTCAAAAAGAAATAAACAGAGCTTAATTTCCTTTTTCATTTTTTTTTTTTATTACTGATTTATTATTCTTTGATTGAAAAATTTTAGGTAATAATAAGGAGAGAATATCTCTTTTAAAAAAATATAAATTTTCAAAAGTTAAAAATGCCAATGTCCTGATTAAAATGCCAATTTCCTAAAGTCTTTTGTTCCGGGTAAAATGACTGGATAAGTAAATCTGCATTAATGGTAGGAGGGAGATTTTTTAAGTGGAAATAGACAGCTAAGAGAAATCCCAAGGATTGGTGGAAAAGTGAAGGAAAAACGGTCGACTTCCCTTCGAGATTGAAGAATCAGGTTCGACTGTGGCGACGGTCTCTTGTTGTCGAAAGAGCAATGATATCGTTCGTAAACACAGAGAAAAACAAGACAATCCAGGGTAAGGAGCGACGTACCGCAAAGTACCGTTCAAGAACAGACCTTCCTTTCGAAGGAGATCCATATATTCGCTTTTTCCCTTTATTTCACTGCCGTTCGAGAAGCCCACAGGGCTCACTGAGATTGGATCTTTCCGCAATCTGTCTGGATCCCCTTTTTGTGCAACAAACACGTCTTGAATTTTTAGAAATTATTTGTTCCTTCTTATGTAACAAACATTCTAAAAATTATTCTTCTAGTTACTCATAAAATGAATTTTCAAACATTAATTCTAATATACCCAATGCATAGTTTAAAAAAAAACATTTAAAGTAAATGTTCCTATTACTCAAAGAATTGTTTATTTTATTTCATTAGAAATGAGATAAAACGATATATTGATGAAACTTACTTTCCATTTGACAAAAACGATTCTACAGAACCCCAGTACAGTTTTAATGGAACCACGTGCAAATATATTCTTTCCACGAGTTTGCCGTTACTCACCCCTTTTCTCTTTTTCTCCGTCAGCCATATAACAATAAACGAGCATTCAAAATGGAACGACGGCAAATTCAATTATTTGCTCTAATTCTTTCGTTCGTCTTTCGGAAAGGTCGTTTACCTCGACTAATTTTTACATTACTAAATGGCTACGACCGTGAAGAATTAAAGAAAGGAAAACATTATCATTATTCTAAATAATGGTAAAGAAATAAATAATAGATAAATTAAAAATTAAAATCAAGCTAATGATTGTAAGTATTAGTAATTGTTGCCTGATATCGTTGATATTATACTTTCATCGTCGACATTCAAATTATTTATATAAAAATCCAATGGGAATAAAGAATAACAGTGTATGCAATATTTCACTCACCAATTGTAGCAATGTCGAAGCAGCAAGAGGTTGTAAAGTCATTGAAAGTTTCCTCTTCCTACTTAATAAACACCACTTGTTTCTTCGAGACTTTTCACATTTCCTCTTTCTGCTATATCACAGTAAACCTGGCAGCTCTTTTGTAGCCAATCAAAACAGACTGTGAATCTCTTAACGAGCAGACATCTTTCTTCTTTTTTTTTTTCGTCGGTAGTGTTTGAATTTATCGATGACCAAGGATCAAAGGTTTTCCAGGCATTCGTTGCTTCTCGATGAGGGTAAAACAGAGAATACTTGATGAAGGTTCGTTAAGATCTGAATAAAGAAACAGAAAAATGTCTATAAATAGAGTGTTCTATTACTATTGTTCCTTACCTTCTGTACCGTTCAATTATTTTTCAATCAATCGATCGATACTAGTTCAATATTCATCCACAAATAATTGTAAAAGAAATGAAGGATGCATATTGTTATAGAAATATTTATACTTTTAGATGATGTGTTTTTGCATATTGAAGAGTTGTTATTTATTTTGGAAACGGTTATTTTTTTATATATTAAAATTTTGATTGCTAAGTCAACTGAAATTTAACACTTGAATTTCTGTAGGGATCCATTATCCATTTAATTAGGAATTTTTTTACTTATTCAACTAGAAATATTCTTATTTGGTTCGTAAAGTTATGGATAGTGAAGTAATGGATAAAGTTTGCCAAGAATAAGAATATAAGTCAAGAGAAAACTACATGGTCATTGACCTCATCTCCAAATTCCAATAACGAACAGAACGATCATGAAGGAAAATAAAAAGAAGAAGGAAACAAAGGAACGAAGAACAACAAGGTGAAAAGACACGCTAAACGGCGTACACAGAGAATGAAAGAGAAAAGGGAGGATACAAAGAGAGCAGAAGGGTGGTCAGGGAGACATACTGACAAAGATACAAGCCGGACAGAAAAAGAAAAGGCTTTGGCACAGTTTTCCATGCTGACGTGACCTACTGGACTATCGATTCGCAGTGAAGGTTTTGGCAAGAGGAAACGCCGCTTGATTTTCAAACTGAATACTCCAACGTTCATATCGTTAGGGTTGTCTCTTATTGAATTCGAACACGTGACCATCAGCAACGAGCAGCATTTTTCCGCTCGCTTGCATCTTGACGATGTTATACAGGGTGTTTCTTATTGGATACGAAATATAATATCAACTTTGTTTGAAACTTTCAAGGACATTTTTACAACCTTTCAGCGCCATTGGTGTAAATAGAAATTTGCTCGCCCTGCACCTTTGAGCACCCAATTAATTTTACTAATTATAAAATATCGCTTTCAAATTTTGAATAGGAATTCTAAAATTTACTAAGTGATTAATAATGAATAATTATTGTATTATTTATCAGAAAAATATGTACCATCGCGACAGAGTTAATATGTACACAGCAGCGTAGGATCTTATACTACGCAAGTAGTATAAGTCAATGAAAAGTCAGATGTATAACCTAAGGAGCAGTGTAGGCAGTCGAACGAGAAAAATAAGTATACTACGTAGCTGTACAGTAGTGTAACTACAGTAAATTCTCTAATGAGTAGTATCGGTACACTAGATAATCACACACGTGGCTTCTTTCACCGAAGGTGTACACGTGTACCTGAGAGATGTTCAAAATCGTTTTTCTCAAAAACGAAGCCACGTATTTAAAAATTTTATCCCACAATTTTCACTCATTTTTAAATGAAGAATCATCCTCTGCGTTCAATTATACCAGATTGATTAGTACACCCTGTATTTCCCCCCTTTCTATCTCTTTCTGACCGTCCCAGACTATGTTTCGCGTTTATTTTCTCCTACCCTATCTGCGCCTTTTTTTTCTCCTCTTTTCTGTTTGACTGTGAGGTCCCTTCCACGGCGTTGCTCGAGGCTTGGGCATTGTTTCGTGCTATCCGCGTATTCCACGTCCCCTGGCTAGACGAAACAAAGAGCCAACAATGGGCCCGGACGAGATCTCAACCGTATCTTCTTCTGTGTTACAGCTTTTTCCTCGCTTTTCTCTTCTTTCCTTCCTTTCTTTTTTTTCTCCCCCTACTTTTGATCCTACGACTGGCCAAGGTGGAACGTTCTGAGGGGATTTTAGGGAGGGAGGGAAAGTCGATGCACTCTGAGGACAGGCTGGGCGGGTTGGTCTACGAAAGGTGGATCGAAACGAGCGTGTTTACATGGATTCAACGAGCCACTGAAGAATCGGAGATTTCTATCGAGTAGTATTCTGTGCAGATAGGAAAATGTATTTGAAGTTTCCGCGAGGACGATAGGGATGTAACTAGACGAATGGATATAAATACCAGACTGTTGAATATCAAATAGTTGGACGAGGAAATGTAGATAGTTTGACGTGATTTGATGACGTAAAAGAATTGCGAAATGACACTTGTGGCATAGCAATTTAAACTTTAAAGTCTAATAAAAATTACTATATAGATGCACCTTTTCTTAATGCATCCAGTATAAAATGGTTGGATGTCAAATACAGCAAACGATGAACGTCTAAGTAACAATTTCTAATATTTCTAATGCAATTTTATCACATAAAAGTATCGCAAAATTGCACTTATGGTATGTCAAATTAAAGCTTAAAATTCGACGAAAATAATTACCTATAAGAATCTTCCATTAATTTTCTTAGTTCTTCGTTGATATATTTTATTAAAATGAACAAAATTTTCAGAAACAATCACACCTGATCAAATGTTTCATATCTGTTGAATACATACCGTTTGAAATACGACAGTCTTATAGGTCGGATATAATTCAACGATGTTCAAATTACGAATAAATATTCCGGATTCTCGTGATAAAGCGGAAAGTACGAATTCGATTTCCCGGCCGGTCGAACACGACTCGCATTCCCGAAAATTTCTGAAGGGGAAATGTGCTTTATACAAGTATGGTCTTTCGCTAAATTCCGATGCTTGGAACGTTGGAAACGAACGTCGAAGAGGAGAATGATTCGACTGGATCCAATGACACGGAAGACGCAATGACGTGAGATATATTGGTTTCACGGAAACTTGGAATTACTAGACAATGTAAGAAAATGAAATAACTTCAATTTCCGTTTATTTCTTTCCTCTTGTATAGCTTTTTCCTGATGACAATGGTACTCTATTGGGCGATGGAAGAAAATGAAATCACTTCAATTTCCGTTAATTGCTTTTGAACTGTGTTGGTTTTTGCAAATTACGGTATTTCAATTTGAAATTTTTGAATTAAAATTTTTCGAAGTTTCTCTGAATCCTGCACTGCATTCCAGCATTAAATACAATTTAAAAATACATCTAAAAATATTTCACACCTCGATTTCAATATATCTTCAATTCTCTCTAATTGTTTATGAGAAAAATCATCAATTGGCTGTTTTCTGCAATGATATTCGTGAAACCGTGACAAGGGATTCCTGTTTGCGCAGAAGAATCGCGGAACACAAAGAGCCCTCAGATGTAATTTTTAAAAGTAATTTCTCGAGGGAATCGTGCAGGCACGAGTTGAATTGTACAAATATGTATCACGAATCTCGGATTCGCCAAAGAAATTACATCGTACCAATTCAGTCGTGTGTTCTCTTCAAGCTTTGCCAGAATTTTCATGCAAACTTAACTGAATAATAATGAATTTATCTAAATTAATTATGAAATTTGTGACACATAAACTTTGTTGAAGGATTAAAACACTAATTAATATTAAGCATACCATTGATTAATTTTAAATTTGATACCTCAGACTATTAAGTATAATATTAATATTATTTAAAACTTATTTTTATATCAAATTTGAGATGTTGGTCAATGATGGCACCCATGTTCCCTGTAACCCCTCAAGAATGACAAGGGGTTAATCGAGTTAAGAAACGATTAGAATGTCTCTTCTGTAGACACAAGTCGGGGAATTGAATTCTACACGTCGGTGAACGTAAAAAACGAATGCATTGTAGATTCACGAGCGAGCCAACACGAAGCACACCTGCTTCTTCAAACAAGAACTACATCATATAAATTGCTGGAAAACACGTGTTGTACCCTGAATGGAGCAGCTCTTGGTTGAAAGTAATGCACTCTGGGAATTTGCGTGTCTGAACAGTGTGTTTGGTATTCTTTTGATACTTCCTAAACTCACATTTGCTTCATGTGGTTGTGCTAAGAATTTTGCACCTGGTGCACACCATCAAACTGAACATTTCTACAATATTTTTATCAGAATTTATAGGGAGAGTTGATTACAAACTGGGGCTATTTTGCAACTTTACATCCTGCGTTATATTACTATTTGAGAAAGAAAAATTTTATTACTGATATGGATCTTTCAAGCAGACTATGGATGTTCATGTAAATTGACATTTTTAGAGAAAATTGGTCATTAAGTAGATCTGGATAAAAATTAAAAAAAAATAATTACAAGCATAATTTGATATATACTTACAAATAAAAGATAATTAAATTTTAGATAATTAATAATAATAAGAAGCTCATATACTCAACAAGTAAACTACAATAAAAATACCATTTCAAACGAACAATTCATCAAATGATAACAAATTAAAAGTCCCTTGCATCGAATTTTACACGGTTCACTGAAAATTCCCAGAGAACCATATCGTAACAGAGGCAACGGAAAAAAGAAGAAATAGCTCATCCCGCTGCAACGAACGGGTTAAGAAAAAAAGAAGAGACAGGCCAGCAAACGAGGTGAAAAAAAAGCATCGCGTTACGACGAGGTCTAATTAACAAATGTACAAAAACCTTGTCAAGTCGGAAGAAACCATTTCGCAACGTCCTCCACCCATGTCCCGCTACGCTCTTATCGTAACAAACCAGATTTCATGATTCTCTTCGTTCGCATTCCATACCGCCCCTCTCTCTCTCTAAAAAAGAAAAGGGGACAAAGATAGAGGGTTAGCGACAGGGATAAAAAAAAAAGAGGAGAATAGCCGAGGAAAAATGTCGTGACTGGTGAAGTATCGTGGATTTTCCTCGGCAGATCTCGTGGTCGTGGTAACGGGATCGCGAACGAGAACGGAAGTCGACAAGGAAAATTGATTTGATCTGGTGCAATGACGCGGGAGAAACTGCGAACTGAAATGGACGAGTAACCGCCCTCCTTTTCTCCACACCGTTCGTCTCCTTGCTAGATATTTTTTGAAATTATACGTTTTTTTCTCATAGCAAAATCGAAGAATTTTTATTTGATTAGATCAAATTTACGGACAGTGGGTATTTAGTTAAATAATTAAGAAAGGAAAACACTAATTAAAATTACAATAGCAA